TTTGACAGATGGAAACCTGTATTTAGCTTTTAATAGTAAATACAAATTTTTTGACTTTATAGTACATGAAATGAAAACAAAGCATTTAGGAAGAAGAGGAAAAAGTTGGGATTAAGGTTTTTGTAGGGTGATCAGGTCCTAAAGACAGAGGGAAATTTGAGATGGAGACAGAGGAGTACACCCCGGAAATGAGCTGCTCACTGCTTCGATTACATCAGGGCCAAGGCACCTGGCACTAGAGTGGGCTTTGGATCCTTACAGCTGTTTTTCCTGGTCCATGGAGAGCAGGCTCATTTCCTTTAAGCCTCCGGTCAACACTCCCCAGTGTCGTTCTTCTCTCATCTTGCCAATGCCTGTGCTGTTCATGAGACTTTGCTGAGTCCTAGATTCCAAATACGTCATGGTACCCTTTGGTCTGGAATGCTGTTTCCAAACAGATTTCATCAGATATAAAATATTAGGGCCAGGCGCAGTGGCTCATTCCTGTAATCATAGCACTTTGGAAGGCCAAGGCGGGTGGGTCACCTGAGGTCAGGAGTTTGAGACCAGCCTGGCCAGCAAGGTAAAACCCTGTCTCTACTAAAGATACAAAAATTAACTGGGGGTAGTGGCAGCGCCTGTCGTCCCAGTTACCTGGGAGGCCGAGGCATGGGAATCGCATAAACCTGGGAGGCAGACACTGAAGTGAGTTGAGATCATACCATTGCATTCTGGCCTGGGTGACAGAGCGAGACTCTGTCTCAAATATAAACAAATGAATAAAATAAGAAAATAAAATGTTATAAAGGAGTCCCTGTCTTCTTCCTGTTAATTCCTCAAGACCTCGTTTTAGAAGTAGGATATACAGTATTCTCTAACCTGCTGTACACACACTCAGTTTGTTAAAAGACCTGCCAGTGGTCCCCCAATTAATGCAGCATGGCAGATAGAAGACTTTCCCCATCACTCTCAAACGCGCTTAGATCTGACTTTTATTAATGGTTCTCCTAACCTATACGCATGATCCTGCTGCCTAAAATATGTCACAAGCACTACTTTCTCTAATGCAGCCCTTTCCAGATCCCATCAGATAAACTACACAGCCTTCCTTGGTCCCAGCGGTCCCTTTGTAAGCTCCCATCGTAGTGTGGCTATGTGTTACTGCTCTTGTTTATGTGTCTGAATCCTTCTCCTGGATACTAAACCTCTCTCGTGCAGATGCTGTTTATTTTCATCACACCGTCCCTGGGATGCAGTCTAGAGTCAGGCACGTAAGCAGTTCCTCACTGTGCTCAGATGCTTGAAGGTCACCTTGTGGGTTACATCTTCCTCAGCATGAATGGGGATCAGTGACACAGGTGCTTTAGTGTCGTAGAGAACTGAACTCCCAGATAATGAACATGGGAAGCAAATCTCTTGAGACTGATTATACCTAAAAGATCTCCTTCCTAACCTAAAAGATCTCCTAACCTAGAAGATCTCCCTCCTAACCTAAAAACCTTCTTACAGTTTTTCATAAATGACACATGCCTTTGGACTAAATGTAAAAAATTTAAAAAGGGTCCTAAAAATTGCTTTTCCCCTTCTTTTTTTCTGAACACCTTAATCTTTAAGGCACCGGTGAGGTGGAGCACTCTGGTATCTGTGTTGGCAGTGAGGTAGTAGCCTACAGTAGCACAGAGCATGGTGTCAATCCTAGCAGGGTGGGACATCCTTGTGAGTGGCCTGGCGTGGGGTGTTGGAACTTGAGGGGGTGAGGACTGTGTCTAGCCAGAGGAGGGAGTAGAGGCTGATGTGGGAGACTGATTGCATGCAAGGGGACTGATTGTTGAAGTAAATACACTAAGGATATGAGAAGCCAGATTTCTTATTGGAGAAGGGAGTTGCCAAAATGGAGTTACAGATATGGGAAGGTGTATTAGTCCATTTTCATGCTTCAGATAAAGATGTGCCCAAGACTGGGTGAATTATACCGAAAAAGAGGTTTAATGGACTCACAGTTCCACGTGGCTGGGGAGGCCTCACAATCATGGCAGAAGGCAAAAGGCACATCTTACGTGGCGGCAGGCAAAAGAGAAAATGAAAGCCAAGCAAAAGAGGAAACCCTGAATAAAATAATCAAATCTTGTGAGACTTATTCACTACCATGAAAACAGTATGGGAGAACCAACCCCATGAGTCAGGTATCTCCCACTGGGTCCCTCCCACAAGTGGGAATTACTAGAGCTACAGTTGAAGGTGGTCTTTAGGTGGTGACACAGCCAAACCATATCAGAAGGGAAATAGCTGGGATGGACCCTGCAATGTTGGATTGACATTGGAGGTATTTATGAAAACAAATAATTTTGTATATATGAAATGATTTTATTTATATTAAGAATATATAACCTATACATATCTATGAAAACATGGACATATGAATAATTAAAGGAATAAATACAGATATAAATGTGTGTGTTATGCACGTACACACACAGATATTCCCTAGCTGTGTCCACTGAGAGGAACTGGGAGCAGTGATACTTCTACTGCAATGAGCACCTCAAGTGCCCAAATTTGACCTCTAAATGTTATTCTCCATGACAATGAACTATGGCTTTTTGGAGAAATGGCTGATGCCAGGACTGGAGAAGAGAAAGTAAAGGTGAGAATGGACCCTCCTGTTTGGCCAGCAAACAAGAAAGTGTGCAAAGTATGATGGGGATAACTCAATGGGACACAGAAGCCACATAGAGGACCTCCCACTGCCCACATCAGAGGGGATCTAGGGTCAAATAGGTAGTGATAGTGACAGATTTTGAACCATTGAGTAAAATAGGAAGCCAAGAGCTCATACCAGTATAAATAGACAAATAGATTGAAAGTTTGATGAGGCATGGGTATTTACACAGTTTCAGAGTATCTCCCCGCGAAACGTTTATTAATTACAAAAAAAGGAAAGAATAACTTTACATGCAGTAGCCTGGAAGACAACATCCTGGCCACGTGGTCAGAGTGAACATCTCCAGTAACAGAAGAAATCCAAGTCATGTGGCACCTGAGGGGTACAATGAGGAGGGCACAGGGTCACTCGAGCTACTGCAGCCACCATGTGCTATCAGGATGTAGTCACAAGAAAATGCCACACAAATCCAAATTGAGGGCCACTCTACCAAACAGTTAGCCTGCAATCTTCAAAAGGATCCAGGTCATGAAAGTCAGGGAAGGACCTGAGAACTATTTTAATTAACCATACATAAAGATCAGTGACAGCTAAATACAATGTGTGATTTTGAACGAGATTTATCTTGCTGTAAAAAATTTACCGAGGCAACTGGCAAAAGCTGAGGGTAGTCAAATAACTAGATGTTGGTGAGGTATCACTGTAGGTTTCCTGATTTTGATGGTTGAATTATGGTTATGTAAGAGACCATCCTAGATTGTAGAAAATATCCACTAAAACATTAGGATGGCAACTTACTCTCAAATGGCTCAGAGAAGAAAAAGGATTTTTTGCTACTGTGTTTCAGTACCAAAAGTTTGTATTGCGAATTTTCTATGGAGTAGATGGTTTAAAAAAATAAAAGGAGAATTTAAGTCCATAAAAGCTTTGCATTTATGACGTCTTTGAATTTTTGCAACAACTCTTTTGGCAAAAAATATTATCATGATTGTTTCAGACATCAGAAAAGAGGATTCATGAAGAAGTCAGACAAGTGGCACATTCAAGGCAAAGTCAGATCTTGATCCCGTGTCTCATAACTCCTTACCCGTTACTTCTAACTGCGTTTTCTTTACTGTCCGTCCAAGGAATAGTCCCAAGGACCAGGCTAGGACAAGATACGGAAGAGTAATCACTCTGTGGGGTGATGGCTCTCACGATTTTCTGCGTTTATAAGTCATGCAGGGAACCTGTTTAAAATGCATGTTTGTAGTTATCACTGAGATTCTGATTCAGTAGTTTTGGAGTAAGAACCAGAAAATCTGTTTTTTTTTTTTTGTGATTTGTTTATTTTTAAATAAGCAATCCAAGTGATTGTGACATAGGTCATCCCTGGGCCAGACTGTGAGGAACATTGAACTTGATTAATGGTCCTCAGTGGCTACTGAAATAAATTTAAATCGAGTGCTGTGCCTAAGAGGTCATGATGGAGCCACATGTAATTTGGAGCTAGGAGGTGATGTGCACCACCCAACGAACTGCAATACTGTCTTCACTTAATCTAAAGTCTAGGAATGCCTGCATGCTATGACTTCATTACAGGTAGCTACCGGTAATGCATACAGGCATTCTAAGACTTTAGGTGGACTTGTCTTGCTTACTAGACAAGAGAGTTCTGCAGTAGACTGAAGAGTTAGGAGCTTAGAATCAGAGAAAGTCCCTGTGAAAATTACCTTAGAAGTATTTCTTTACCATTGAAAATCCATTTTGTTTATCCTCTTTGGAAGTGAGAACAATGATTATTCAGAGCTTTTTATCCTGCTGCTCAGTGCCGGCTAAAGCATTCCCCTTTTCAAGTCTTTGCATGCAGTAGAAGGTGGTCCTCAAAGGAAGTACCAGCTGCTAAAGAAACTTCCAGGAAGAAGGAAGATTGCCTTTACTAAAGAAAATCAGCTTGAAATGTTTTAAAAATATGCAGAATGTTTGGAAGCTCTTCCAATATGCTTACGTTTAAGGTAAGCACAGCATGAATAAAATTACACTACAGGAAAAGAAAAAACCCAAAAAGTTTCTAAAGTATTTATTGGAGGAAACACTTTTTTTACTGAGAGAAGGAGAGAAGGAGGAAGGGAAGATGAAGTTTGATGGAGGAGTGGTAGTGCCTTGGCCCTTAGCCTCTTAATATTTTGAGAACATGACCGTTTTCTGGTTTAACAGTGGTCCCAGGTTGAGTCTCATCTGTACACTGCTGGGAGTTGAACATGACCACGCATGTCTGCAGAACTGGTCTGTAGGCTGGACTATCAGGAGCCTATCTGCACAGTGCAGAGAAGAGTAAGAAGTCTGCTGAAAGACACTCATCCTCTCATCCTCTGGAAACTCAGCAGGTGGCACGCATCAGGGGGAAAAAGCCTGAGCTCACAGCATGGGGTCTGTCAGACCTCTTCCCCGTCTCCGTGCACACACATGTCCTTCCTCCCCTGAGGAAGAAGGAAGGATTACATTAAAACCCATTTCATCTTTATTCCTACAGCCAGGCTTGGGCCTGAAGATGGTGTGGCATCGCTGTGACTCTCACGAGAACTTCCTTTACATTTGTGCCCATCTCTCCTTCTCTGACAGCTGAGAAACTCTCCTGGTCCCCGAGCAAACCAAATGGTCATCAATACTCAGAAGTTCAGAGCTCAGGCTGCAGAATCAGGATCTCTGGGTTTAATCCAGCAGCACCAGTTTACTGACCTGGCATTTACACTGGTTTCCTCTTCCACGAGGTCAGACATCCACTGGGGCTCTGGAGCACGCCATGCCACCTGCAGTACGGAATTACAGATCTTCGCAAACAGCTTCTTATGTGCTACTGGGCTCTGGTAGAGTCAGAATGTGTGGTAGGCTGGACGTGGTGGCTCACACCTGTAATGCCAGCACTTTGGGAGGCCGAGGGGGGCAGATCATGAGGTCAGGAAATCTAGACCATCCTGGCCAATATGGTGAAACTCCATCTCTACTAAAATACAAAAAATTAGCTGGGAGTGGTGGCGTGCTCCTGTAAGCCCAGTTACTTGGGAGGCTGAGGTAGGGGAATCGCCTGAGTCTGGGAGGCGGAGGCTGCAGTGAGCCAAGATTGCGCCACTGCTCTCCAGCCTGGTGACAGAGTGAAACTGTGTCTTAAAAAAAAAAAAAAAAAAAGAAAGGAAAGACAGAATGCATGGCTGTGGAGCACCAAAGGACCATGCACCAGAAATGGCCTATCATGAGCGGATTGTCAGACCCACCAAATCACGAAGTCAGAAGGGCCCAGCAGCAGTCCAGCATAAGCTGGAAACAGTATATCCTAGGGTGGCCTGAGGCATGTGGAAGCTGCATGACAGGGACCCCAGACACTGATACCACCACTTATGGCTACACTAGCTGCTCCTCCAGCTGGTCCCTGTGGCCATACAAAGGGATCCCAGGTGACAAGCTGAAGGAGAAGAAAAACCAGTGTTTGGTTTACAGGTAAGTTGGCCCAGTACTGGGTACAAACCACAAATAGATGCAGCGGCATTATAACTGCATTTGGAGGTGGCCTTGAAGACAGTCACCGGGGAAAGTCTTCCCAAGGGGCAAAGTATGGGCTGGTTGTCCACTGTGTGGAAGGAGAAGTGGCCGAAGGTGAAAACATATACATATCTTCTGGTCAGTGGCAGGTCACCTGCACAGATGGCTCACCACTGGGGGGGGCATTTTATTTCCCATCCCCACAACTCTGGGCTTTGCAGTGTTAGAGACTGTGGTCCCCAAAGCGTGCATATTCTTTCTAGGAGACTCAGTAAAGGTCCCAGTGAGCCTTGAATTTTGGTTTCTGGCTGGGTGCTTTGGACTCCTTGTGCCCAGGGGCCAGCAGACAAGAAGAGGAGTTGCTGTCTTAGCAGGGATAAGTGGCCCTGATTAGCAGGGGAAGATCGGGTTGCTGTTGTGTAAGACCAGGAAGGGAAAATGGGACTCCAGCGATCCACTTGGCACCCATGTGTACTCTCTTGCCCGATTGTGACTGTAAATTGACAAGAATAGCAATCCTGGCCTAAGGTATGAATGGTCCTCAGGGGCCCAGACCCCTTTAAGCAGGATGGGATCATGTTTAGGTTCCTTGGGCGGCTGTAACAAAGTACTCAGACCATAGAAATTCATTTTCTCTAGAAGTCTGAAAACGCACCGTCAGCAGGGCCACACTCCCTGTGAAACATGCTGAAGAGAGTCCCTCCTTGCTTCTTCCTGCCTCGGGGAGCTCCTGGAAATCCTTGACTTACAGATGCATCACTCCAGTCGCTGTCTGCCTTCACACCTGCCGTCTTCCCTCTGTGTTTCTGTGTCTTCTTCTGTTCTTATGTGGACACCAGTCATTTGGAATCGGAGCCTCCTCTCCTCCAGTTTGGCATCATCATGACTAATCACATCTGCAAAGACCCTGTTTCTAAATAAAGTCATGTTCACAGATGCCTGGGTTAGAACCTCAGCATACCTTTCTGGAGGATACAGTGCAAAACAAAACACCAGGTAAGCCATTGAGAGCAGCAGAGGGGACGCTGACCAAGGAGAGGGGAAATTATAAAGTACAGTGGGGGAGGAAGGTGATGAGGGTGAGTTGCAATTGCATGACAGGCCACAGCTTGTGCCATTGACCCCCGTTTCTCAATCTCCCCTCAGAAAGGGAGGCTCAGGGGAACTTCAGGGAATCTTCTCCATGTACATGTATGGAGGTGCATTGGGTGGACATAGCCACCATGGAGGTGAGCCCCCCACACAGACCTCAGCCACCACGGAGGTGAGCCCCACACACAGACCTTAGCCACCATGGAGGTGAGCCCCACACACAGACCTCAGCCACCATGGAGGTGAGCCCCACACGTAGACCTCAGCCACCATGGAGGAGAACCCCACACAGACCTCAGCCACCATGGAGGAGAACCCCACACAGACCTCAGCCACCACGATGAGAACCCC